AAGTTCTTTGTCAGAACTATCAATTTTGGAAAACGTACCGACGCAAACAGGATCAATTGACGACGGAAACGAAAATTTTATGTTTTAGTGCGACACGTCTTTAATGTGTACCCCCCGCATTTTTGCAATGCGATACCCTCGCTCCGGCTATAATGTGCAAAATGGCATAAGATGCAATTTAGAGTTAAAAATGAAAATGGTTAATAACCATATTAACACATTTCGTGCCACGTGGTCGCTGACGACTCACGGTAGATTAACCGTTTTAGTGCCAGGAGTTTTTAAAAATTCGTGTCGGATTGTGCCATAAAGCGCGATAGCGTTGCGAATTAACGATCGGGACCAAACATCACTACACAGTTCACCACAGTACGCGAAAAGCGCGATCGCGCTGCGTGGCACCAAAACGGTTAAGGTGAAGTGAAACACGTCGAAAAAATTGATCGACGTCGGTAATTTTTTTAGTTAATTTTTTAATATTTTATATAAATACCTACGTTATCGACGTTCGTGTTTATATCGACAGCTGTGTCGAATTATATTGGGTATTGGACCAAATAGCATACTCCACCTGTCGTTTTCGTACAATAATTATAAAAAGATCGAAGTAAAACTCCAGAAACTCCCAGGATTCATGGTTTTCGATGCCCAAATTGACTGCAGAATGTCACCGTGTGCTATTTGTGATTTCAGTGCTAACTAAATTTTCCCTCCGAGACCGAGACCGATGTTACCATTGTTTTAGCACAGAAGCGCACGGAACACTTTTTTTTACTTTATTCCATTCAAATGCGAGTTTCTCGATTACTAGAGTGTTCTAAATTGTTGTACAGTTGTCCCGAAACTTTCGTATCTCATATTGAAGCCTTCAATAGCCGTATATTGAACGAAATATGAAGTTCGACGCAATTTTGGTTCCGGTCTTAGCTGGGTTAAACCATTTTTTTTTCGAAAATACAAATTTTGAAAGTGTCTGCTAAGTGCTCTCATGTTATGCGTCAAAGTTTCGGATAGTTCGGTTCAATACCTATAAAAAATAGTGTTTTATTTGTATTAATGATTGATTGGAAGTTTCATTTCACCTTAATACGTTTTCCCCTTGAGACAAAATCGACATATTGTTTTATACAATTTCAGATACTCATTGTGTTACTTGTTTTGCTGAATACGGCGTAGAACTTGAAAATTATCCTAAAAATATCATTGTTCGATACTGCGAGTTTCTTGATTGATGCATAGCCGCCAAGCGCAGTGGAAATGAAACTTCTGCCGATGACTGTGTAGAAAAGGAAGCAGTGGTATGGTTGAATAGATGGAGGATTATGATTGTGTACGGAGGTTTCGGAGGTTCTAGAATTTAGTATAATGCCGTAAATATGTATCATATTACCCATGTAAAATGAATCGAATAATTGACTTTATAAAATAGATTTTAAGGATTTATGAAATTTGAATATAAAGTATAACCACTTAAATCAGCTTTGTAGTACCGCTTCCTTTGCTACACATTTAGTGCCTAGTGAACACTGTTATACAACTGTTGGGTAAATAATTCGTTTCCGAAACTAACATGTTATGTAGCACAAAAGTAACATGGACGTTAGATGTTAGTTATTATTTTCCACTCAGTAAGGTAACATGTTATATTAATGTTATATTAATGTTATAATTTCAGTTACCTTAAAATAATATTAATTTTTCATACATTTAATGAAAAACATTCACGCAATTTTATCCAAAATTATATAACTTTTTATTTTTAATTATTTTTTGGTACTTGACAATAGTTAGATATTAAATGACAAATCAGTCTTTCAATGAAATTATGTAATGATGAACTATCTGATTTTACTTAAAGACAATTAAGATTTCATTCGACTACCAAACAATGACTGATAATGTATATGCGCGTATGAATTAAAATCACGTTTTTTTATACGAGTAGTAAACAAAATATGACATATATTGATCTTATGACATTTGACGATGAATCATGACAATGACGATGATGTAATAAAATAAATGACAGCATCAATGTAGTTCTGTTTTGTTACAATTATGTGCTGCATATGCACAGTAATATCAGGACAATAACATAATGTAAGATGAGAGTAACAAAGTTATGCTACATTTATATAGATATGATAGTAACAAATGTTATGTAACCTGTTAGCTCCATGTTACATAACTGTTAAGTTCCTGCATTGTAACAAATGTCATGTAACTAGTTAGCTCTATGTTACGCAACTGTTAGGTTATTACATTGTAACAAACTTTATGTTATTTGTTAGTTTTAAGTTACATAACTGTTAGGTTTGGTGTTCAGTGGGTAATAGAAGTGTCATTTTCAACGCTCCGGGCGACCAAGCACCAATTTCTTTTCGGCATATTGTAGTACTACACTATTGCAACGATATAATTTCATCCACAAAACGACTATATTGTTTTCGACTATAATCTTTATTTATGTATGCCTTTGTTTCTTCGGCAGATACGTGCACACGATTAACTTGCAACATGTCGACAGAGACACCCATAACGAATATCACAATGGAAATGTGTAGTACCTACCTCAACGTTGATCTAAAGATCTTCGATTTCCATTACTATGCTCAATTGAATAATACGTTTGAGTCTATCGCGGTAATTCGAGAGCCGTATATGTTGCGTATAGGTGTGAAGCATGTTAACAATGTTAACACTTGTTCCATAGTTACTTTCTATGATTCATCGCAGTTTAATAATTACCAGTTCCGAGTTTTCAGGAATTCAAAAGAAATTTTCTCCGCGTATGCCGGAGGTTATACGGTAGTTTATTTGCCTAAGGAAAGCATAGACTGTTGCAAGATAGATTGCAATTCTTCCACACGAACGGACGAACTTATGTTTAACTTCAAAATTGAAACAAAATACAGAAATTTCGCCGAAATTATGTACGCGAAACGCGTGGTGATCAGCGATGAAAACTTTGGAATGGCCCATAAGTGCACCGAATGTTTTCTACCGATGTTTCAATCGAAGTCCTTCGTGGACGTGACATTTCGAGTGCAAGGCACGGAGATTCCGGCACACCGAGCCGTTTTGAAGAAAAGCAGTTCCTATTTCCACGGCATATTCACGAACGGCATGCAGGAGGAGCAAGGCGTAGTCGATGTTGCAGACGTTGACGTTGAAATATTCAGCGAATTGCTCAACTTCGTTTACGGGGCTAGTTTTCAGAACATTAGAGAAAATGCCGAGAGACTTCTGGTGGTGGCGGATAAATACGATTTCAAGGATTTGCAAGCTGTGTGCGCTACCGTGTTAAGTGATCAGTTATCGATTACAAATGTCGTACACGTTCTCGGTGCCGCCATTCCGCTTCGGGTCCAGGCAGCGAAAATTAAAGCCATACATTTTCTTAAAGAACATTGCGAGTCCATAATCCAGACCGAGGATTTTCAGTCCCTAATGCACATAAAGCCGAAAGTCATGATGGAAATATTTTGTGCAGTTTGTACACAACTTCAGGGATTCAGCACGTCGGATTCTATTTGCGGGTAAAACGATAGATTCATTTCGCCACATAAATTGGGGCCCTTAATTTCTTTTAGTCGACAATGTATTTTTAGTAAAGTGCCACTCCATTGATCGTTCCTGAACTACGCGTTAATAATAGTCTAATGTTTTTTGCAGATCCCTGCATCAATCCAATGACAATATAACACCGACCTGTCTCCCTTTCCATATGAACAAAGTTACTATTAATAGTGAAAAAGTCAGCATTGAATGTAATGTGCATGATTTCCGTAAGCACTACAACTTGCGTCACACATTTGAACTCTAGCCACATAGGCATGCGTTTTACAAGTGGGTCGTTAGGATCTACCACCCTTACGCTAATGTCTCTTCGCAACAATTCAGCAGTCTTCCACACTGGCTCGGTATCGCTATCATACCGAAATGGAAAAGAACGAGCGTTCATGAAATAAATTACGCCCTCAGGGTTTGTTTGATTCACAACTGCAAGGAAATGTTGACATTCAACGAGAACCAGTCAAGCTCAGGAGAAGTGCACTTTCTTTTGCCATATGACACCACAATTTACAACACGGACAATGAATTGATCAGTGACCATCTCAAAGTTTCTTTCACAATGTTTCTACCATCGTGTTCCAACACTAAGTTCATTACTTTTATTTCTGAGCAGCCCTACGAGAACCGAAGCGGTAATAACTGTGTAAACGATCGTGACGAATCCATTCAGTTCTCGCTCACGGAAAAGTCATTCGATCTCATCAACTTTCAAGTTAAGGACAAGACATTTTCGGCAAGTAAGACTCTAGTAGCCGCACATAGTGTTGTCTTCTATAAGAAATTAAAGCACGACGAGGCGAAGAGGAATTTCACCGTGGAGGATGTAGATCCCGAGATTTTTCAAGAGTTACTGAATTTTATGCACGTCGACAAATATAGTATCAAGAATATTGAAGACATTGCCGAAAAACTGTTCGAGGCGGCGAATATTTATGGTGTAAGAGGCTTACAAGCATTGTGCGCTAAAGTACTGAGCAAGAATTTGTCGGATGGAAATTGTATGTCGATGCTTAGCATTGCCGTTTTGAATAAGATCGAAGATTTAAAATTTAAAGCCGTATCTTATTTTAAAAAGAATTGTGAATCCACAGTGGTAAAAGATGAATTCAAGTCTTTGCTACGCTCAAATCCTGAAAACATGAGTAAAGTTTTGTGCGCCATTTGTTCGCTAGATTGTCATGAATTAAACAGAATAGAGAGGACGACCTATACATTCCACGAGAAGAAGCCAAAAAACAATTAAGAAATTTTGCTGATATTTGTAATCACTTTTATTATTGCTTAGATTGCTTAAATGTGCAAAACTATAACCAATAAATTGTTATTTCTTTTCCCGTTTGTCTCCGTCATTCAATTATCCGACGTACTACCTTACCTAGAATATAGTCATAGTCAGATAATACTGTAAAATTAGTTTTTGACATATAAAGATAATGGTGGTCTACACTACACATATAACATTTACGCGTTAGGCCATTTTGAAAGAAAGGGTAACTAACCATATCTGTTCTGCCCGGCTTGTTTGTCGGGCAGTGGCTGTATGAATACCGATTGTTTTTGCAAACAGAATTCCAAAATGGGATATTCATACAACTGCTCACGTGAAGAAGGAACGTACCCAAATAAAGTGAGACCTGTCGCAAACAAAACGAAGCTTGAATTTATTATAATATTAGTTTGACGAACGACTTGTTGAATTTTGTGAGCTCTTCACGCGTGAATACTCGTGACAGATGCAGATGCGATGGCGAAAGTTGACGAGAGACGAGAGACTGACTTACAGGAAAAATACAACATTCCTCCTCTGGTCGTATTACATTTCTGAGGAGGAGGTAGCATATTTTTTATATAGCGATTGGCTGACAGATTTTAAGAAAGGCGGTTAAGGTGAAGTGAACCCCCTTCAAATCAGTCGATTCGAATACAACACTTTTTTTTTAAGGATATTAGACCAAACTGTCCGAAACTTTGACATATCACTCCTGATCACCTAAGAATTGTCCTGACACATTTAAAATTTGGATTTTTTTTTAAATTTCTTAACTTAGCCCAGACCAGAACCAAAATGGCGTCGAGCTCTCATATTTCGATCGATATACAATTATCGAAGGCTCCGATATGAGAAACGAAAGGACCAGGACAATTATACGACAATTTAGAACACTCTGGTAATCGATAAACTCGCATTTGAACGGGATAAAGGTAAAAAAAGTGTTGTATGCGCTTCTATGCTAAAACGATGGGAATACGAGGTCTCGGAGTGAAAATTTAATTGACCTGGAAATCACAGATGGCGCTGGGGGTTCCCTCTGCAGTCAATTAGGGCCCCAGAAAACGTGAATTCAGAGGATTTCTGGTGTTTTACTTCGATTTCTTGATATTTATTGTACGAAAACGACAGGTGGAGTATGCCATTTGGTACAATATCCAATATAATTCGACCCGGCTGTTGATATAAAAACGAACGTCGACAACGTAGGCATTTAGAAAAATCTTCCTTATCGACGTCGATCAAGTTCCTCGACGTGTTTCCCTTCAGCTTAAAAACCAAGTAGTAGGCCTTGTGATTGGCCGATAGCTGTCCAATACGGTTGATTGAAAACGGAAATTTTCTGGTTCCCGTGGAGATGGAAAAACATTCTGTGTGCACGGGTACATACTGCGCACATGTGTTAGCGGTAAAGTTAAAGAAGGTACGACGGTAAGGAATAGGGACGGTCAACCCGAGACAATTCTAAAGAATTCTAAACCTCCGCGATGGGACCTTCGGGGCAATATAACCGTATTGTTGAAAACTAAAATTCACGAACGGATTTCGGAGGGAGGAAATTGCTTAATTGGTAAATGGCCCGACTGGCCCAAGCAGGCAATAAGTCTCTTTCTGGAAATTTGTGTGACATTTCTAAAGCCGCGATGAATTTAAAATACATGACTATCGCTTACGGAACAATGTCCAAATACCACTAATTGTTTCGATATAATACCTGCACGCCTTATTTCAGTAATAACAAAACCGGATCCTATTCATACTAAAGGAATTGAGTCCCTAATAAATTCAAAACTCAAAGCCCCGTCTGTCAAACAAAATTTGTTTATTTATTTCTTTTACGTCGCGTCAAGTGTTCTGGTCATTAGCGACGCACCATTGAGTTAAATAGGGCGCTCACCACTCTAGCGATTTTGCAGGGCCTCACGGGGACAACGATACCGAACGTATAGAAATACCGTTTAGAAAAACCGATCGAGCTTAACGAGTGCTCGTATCGAAGATGAAACGTTGACCTGTGTTTATATGGGAGCGATTTTCGGTAAGTGGTCATTTTCCTATAAAAAAGTGCAACGACATAATTTCAATGCCCTTTTACCTAGGAAGGAGGTGCTTGATCGAAAATCGCTCCCATATACACACACGTTAATGTTTTATCTTTAAAACGAGCACTCGTTGAGCTCAATCGGTTGAGAAATACGCTCAAAATCGTTGTCCCCGTGGAGCACCTTTTTCAGGATTTTCGAGTTTCTCGCGAGGAATTTGGGCATTCCTTGGCAACCGTTGTCGACTTTAGGCGGAGCGTCCAACTGGCGTGTGCGGGCGGCCGTGTGTCACCCACGTTTCGGCGCCTAGTCCAGAGGCGTCCAGCCGTTGTGTTAGTTCTATACGTGCAAAATACACACACATTTTTCGCCCGTTGCTAAACACCGCCCATTGTGCGTCGCGTCTCCCTCATCCGAGCGAGATAGTACGTTTTGGTTACCTCCCACCGAATTCGATGCTAATGCCATCTAGCGGTGGAAGTCATCGTCCCCACTGTGGTGGTGAACGCTGTTAACGATTGGATGGGTTTTATTAAGATATAGTGATTTGCATTTATCTTTCCACTTCTTAAATATTATTTCCCGGAAGTACGTTTTCGCGTCATTTAGAGACAATGGTTCGTTGTTTCCAGACCTTTTATTGAGGGTTGCAAATTCTACGAGTCAAACAAATTTTCTCATAGTTGATCCCAGTGGACTTATTGAGTAAGGTTCAGCAACGTTGAAAAAAGGGTTTAAATCTAATAAGGTTCAGGGTGATTTTTATTTTCTGAGCATTCTTTCGTCCGAATCGTTCATTGATCATGGTAAGTCTTGCCATGAATCGGCGTCGCTTCTCTCGGGGTTAAGGTGAAGTGAAACAAGTCGAGGAACTTAATCAACATCGATAAAGAAGATTTTTCTAAATGCCTACGTTGCCGACGTCCGTTTTTATATTGACAGCTGGGTCGAATTATATTGTGTATAGTACCACATGGCATATTCCACCTGTCGTTTTCGTACATTAATTATGAAGAAATCGAAGTAAAACTCCAGAAATCCTCTGGATTCATGCCTCCTGGGCCCTAATTGACTGCGGAGGGACCCCCTGCGCCATCTGTGATTTCCAGGGCAATTAAATTTTCACTCCGAGACCTCGTATTCCCATCGTTTTGGCATAGAAGCTCATACAACACTTTTTTTGCCTTTATCTCGTTCAAATGCGAGTTTATCGATTACCAGAGTGTTCTAAATTGTCGTAAAATTATCCTGACCCTTTCGATTCTCATATCAGAGCCTTCGATAATTGTATATTAATCAAAATATGAGAGCTCGACGCCATTTTGGTTCTGGTCTAGACTGAGTTAAAAAATTTTTTTGAAAGATCCAAATTTTTAATATGTCAGGACAATTGTTAGCTGATCAGGAGTGATGTGTCAAATTTTTTGATAGTTTGGCCTAATATCCTTAAAAAAAAGTGTTGTATTCGAATCGACTGATTTGAAGGATGTTTCACTTCACCTTAACCTCGTAAAATCAGAAGATAACTAATTACCCCGGCAATTACAGGAGAAGCGTTCGAAAATACATCGCTGTGCCCGTTCCAAGAAGCGTAATCCGTGAAGAAAACGCGAGCAGAGCGTAATAGGCTCATGGGTATACCCGGAGGAGCGTTTAAATTCACTCTGCCAATAGCGCGTGTAAGAGAATCGACGGTACGGGTTAACACCGCCAACAGCCACTTCCTTCCTCGAGGTCGTGTCCTGGTGGAGTCAATTCTGGCGTGTACGAGTTACTGCCAGGACCGACTTTACGCAGTCCGTCTGTCCTCGCGTGACTACGAATGATTTTTGTTTCAGAAGCCCATCAAACGATATCATCCAAGCACAACACAAAACCATCATACAAAACATCTGAGAACAAACATTAATGGCAAAAAACCCTTCTTCGTACTTATCGAAGACAACTATTTAATCCGAACAACAGCCAACTTCGGGAATTCAATGATAGATTTGTCTCAGGTAATTAGTCACCTTTAACAGGGGTTTATAAGCAATTAATAAGTAAATTTTATTCAATGATGTAATACAGGTAACCCTCCTATAACACGGTAGATAGGTTCCTAAAAAATGCCGTGTTGAGTGAAACCGTGTTATATGAGACTCAAAGCCAGGACAAAAATGGGGGATTACGTTCCGAAAACCTATAAAAAACAAACTTTTTTTTTTAATTCCACATACGCAACTTAATTTATATTAAAAATATAAATGTATGTATAACACAAAATGAAAAAAAAAAACAAGAAAAATTATTTTGAGGTAAAGGCACTATAGTTTATTATTCCTTCCCGTCATTATTTTAAGGTAATTTAGGTTTTAAATATGTTAAACAAAAATAGTGTTATCCAGTACTGTAGGAGTACAGCGTCGTACAAAGGTTTTCGCAATTTTTTTATCGTGTTAGAGCGAAACCGTGTTGTAGGATACCGTATATATATAAACTCAACAGAAGTCAGATAGGGTATGTATGCGAAACGGGATAAGACCTAAGCTTACGGAAATATATAAAGAATAAAATGTTAAAAGAATAAGTGGTGGTAACTTTACATTTTGGAAGGCGGAAACCGATTGCGACCCTGCCGTACACTCTTCAACGTGTACCACGATTTGCGCTACAATGTACACAGGCATTCGCTAATGTGTGTCAATATGAGCCGATGTGCGCCGCCGTGTGCTTCTCCGCATAAACGAACCTAATCTGCCTCGGTACACGCGAACGGATTTTCTAAGCGATTCAAGTGAAACTAAAATTTAAATGTCGCGCTACCGTACTATTATTGCAACATGTTAATAATCGTCATTGACGTCAAAATCCGTAGGAGTAAGTCTCTCGGGCGAAAGATTCCTAGACTCGAAAGGATGGAACAACGACATGTGACAGATTCTATCCTCTTATTATGCGTTTTCTTTTATAAGAGCCTAAAGAGTGACGCGTACGCACAAAAAGACAGATCTAAGAACAATTTTTAAAATACTAAAAA